TTGCTTCTGGGTCTGACCCTCAGTCCACGCAACACAGCAAGGACAGGTTAGCTTAGATAATTAGGATTCTTTAGGGAACAATCCAACATTTACCCTACTCCAACCCACGGGGCCAGCACTCAGGAGAGAAATGCAGAAAGAACATAAAGGAAAAATCCCACGATTACACTTTCTGTTAAAAACACATACCAAAAAGATAAATAAAATAATAAAATAAAAGGGGTAAGCACGTGTCCTAATGTATGGTATCAGCTTTTCACAGAAAACTGAGAGAACTCCTGTGACAAAATTCGGGGGAAAGGCAATTTTCTATAATACGAATGTTTTGCTAACAGATGTGATTATAAGGAGGGAGGCAAATTATTATAATTATTATTCGGTAACCAAAGAACCGATGTGGGTTTTGAGGTTTTTTGGAGGGGGAAAGGAGGAGGTAGAGCAAAGAACAAGCATGGATTTGTTACAACTCCAGGGTTCTTTCACAGAGTGTTATGGCTAAACACATACACTTCTGTTCCCTTCCCTCTTCATTTCTGGCCCCAATTCTTCATCGTATTAACTTTAGAAAAAGGTTCCCTCTGCCTCAGAGTTACTTTACTACCATTACCTTATAAATATGGCATAAATAAGACCTCCATAAGAGACGCCACTCCAAAATGATTTACAGCACCAATATGTTTTCACAGCTTGCACAGGATATCAATTCTCCAAGAGAGAAACCACAGTTGGCTGCTTCAAGCACTGAGCTATGTTGTTATAGAGTTACATAGTAACTCACTTTAGAATCCTGACCTTTACCAGGCACAGAAACAGGTGGGGACTTAGGAAAACGGTGGAGAATACTAATGACAACTGCTAGTTGCCCCTCAATAATCATGTTTACTTTGTCCATTAAACTAGGACTCCTTTTATTTTTTTAAAGATGAGCACACAGCCCGGTAGAATAAAGGCTACATTTTCCAATTCACCTTATATCTAGGTGTTACCTTGTGATTATATTCCTAGTCAACAGGATATAATCATTGATGGCTAGCAAATGTTTAACAACCAGTTCTCGTTAGGAGGGAGGAAGACGATGGGGGAAGCCCTGGTTTGTAATGTTTGCTAATTTCCATGGTATAAATCATCCCACCATGGGTAATTTCAAGCTTCCACCCTGATGGCACTGAACACAGATTTGGGAAGAGCTAAAGCTTTCACGAGTTGGTACCAACCGGCTCCAGCACATCACTGAATGTAATGAAGTGTTATATGTGATTTCTGGGATCTGTCTTGAGAGAAGAAGGCAAATCTCAATGGATGGAGCATGCCCTTCCTCCTTCCTGCAGACCAGAATGGATATGCGACTGGTGGAAGTCCAGCCATCACAGTGGACCAGAAGGAAGAAGCTGTGTATATAAAAATGGCAGAGTCACAATAGAGAGGCCCCATGTGCTCATAGTTGCTGGGCTGGCCCTGGAATGCTTACCTGAAGACTTCATTTACATGACAACTGTGAGAAAGAAGAAAACTTCTATCTTGTAAATGCAACTAATATTTGGAATTTTACTATTCATTGTAAAATCTACCCAATTTAGGGCATCACACATGTTGAATAAGATAATTGAACAAAACTAAGATTACATCTGGTAGAATCAAAGAATTCAGATTTGAAACAATGACAAAAACAAAAATGTCTGAAGCTTTCTGGAAGGGACAAAAGAGGATAGAGGGAGAATAAAGTATTGGTGAAGAGAACAGCCAAAGGAAAAAAGAACGTGAAAGGGCGGATCTCACCTCTCTCCACCTCAGCACCTCCTCTGTGACCTACAGACCCCACAATAAGGAGCGAGCAAGCCTATGCCAATAGGCTTCCTCCTCCAACTTGGGGCCAGCTTCAGAACCCACAGTTGGGGATCAGGGAGGACTCTCCCACGAAGGGCAGTCCAAATTCTCTGCTTGAGAAAGGACTGTTCTCAGACCTGCTTCTTCTAGAGCATTTTCCCAGGCCAAGAGGAGAAATGAGAGAACTACAAGGTCACTTGGAGGACAATCTTAGTTGCCTCAGGGGCAGCAATAGGCAGTTTAGTACGCCTGCCTTTCTGCAGTATATTTAAAATGTATTGTTCTTTGTGTTGCACACTGGGTTCCAGCCAAAGGTAGAATGACTTATTTAAAATATAGGTAAAATTTATGGTATGCGAACTCCTCCCAAAAGTTAATATGCAAAGAGAAGATAGTAATGTCACAAATATGTTCTTATTGTGAATGAAATGGGGATTATGCAATAAACCTGACAAGCTCAGGGGAACCACATGGCAGGCCTGTCAAGCTCAGTGGCCAAATGTAAGTACAAAGAATGGTCTGATCACAAATTCCTAACTGGACAGGTCATAAACAGTAGTCACATCCCAGGGCTATAGCTTCCTTAGCAAAGGTCAATCTTTACCTGAAGTAAGCTCTGTCCATTTTTCTTATGCATCTAGGATAACATACCTTTGAAATGTCACAATAATTTTCTTTTCTGGAAGTTACCACTGACACCAGAGCACAAGACCACAAAACCCCTCATAGTTATCTTATTCTTCACATACCATCTCTATGTGCTTTAAATGTTAATTATTAACTATCCTGTAGCCACCAATATAAAAGAAGTATGTGTTTCTCCACGTTGCCTTTTATCCAAGCCTAGAGAGTTCCCAAATTTGTTTTCTCCTGCCTCCTTAATTTACCACCAGTGGATTTTATGCACTTTCCTATGTTACCTCCCTTAATTCTAACACATAAAATGCAAACATAAAAGCTGCAAAACTGCCATTCTCTGGAGCATTTGTGATCTTGCTCCCCGGCATGTCGTCAGTTTGGTTCAAGTAAACTCATAAAAATTCTCTGCAAGTTTGGACATTTCTACATCAACATCATCTACTTCCAAAATACTCTTTCTGATGTCTCTAGGGAACAGGTTTGCACACGTCTAACAAGTAGTTCAACAACGTTGACTATCTGAGTACATAACCATGCTCACTTTGTGGGGATCTTACAGGGATGTTTTCCGTTCACTCTACACCTGACAAGTCTCTTGATCTAAATTAACTCTATCTCTGTCTCTTAGCAACTTTAGACTAAAGGACTATTGTGCAATCACCATGGTTTTCTATCTCTCCTTCACGACCCACACCCACCACCCTCCCAATATAGGAGTGTCCCAACAAGTCTACTGCTACAAATACAGGAGATGCTAAGTACATGACATGGGTTGATAGTGGCAGGTGAGGGGGTTACTCTCAGTGACAAAGGGAGGGGGCAAGGAACAGCAAGACCAAGTCAGCAAGGAGAGGAAACAGCCTGGCCCAGGCACACACACAGATGGTGAACACCTGTGTCAGAAGAGGCTCTGAAACCAACTGAATAAAGCATAATTTAGTTATAAGATAAAAAACAATCAAAAGCAAAACTTTCACATACCCTACCCTCAAGAAGTACAAATTAGTAGTTACAACATAGTCACGGGGATGGGGAGTACAGCATAAGGAATATAGTCAATAATATTGTAATAACTACGTATGGTGCCAGGTGGGTACTAGACTTATCGGGGGGGAATCACTTCATAAATTATATAAATGTCTAAACACTATGTTGTACACCTGAAACTAATATAAAACAACATCGAATGTCAAAAAGAAAATAAAAATGCTGTAGCTCACATTTACAGGGCTAAGGATCTTTTTAAATATTTGCAGATACTGGCTGCAAGTATTTAAAATATATCCATTATCACTCAAGTCAGAAATCCAAGCACTGGATAAATCTATCTAGGTTCACATCCTGGCTCTGGCATTTATCAGCCGTAACAAAGTAAGTATGTTTGCCTAGCCTCTTTTTCAACATTTAAAAAAATGGAGATCGTTGACCATACTTTGCAGGGTGATTGTAAAAATTAGAAAGAATTAATATAAAGCAGATGCCAAATCTGCACAAAACAAAAGTCTATAAATGAGAGCTATAAAAATTTAAGGTTAGAAAAGAATATATATGGTTGCTGTCGATATGCTATCAAAAATTGCAACTGAGATTAGCTTGATGGCATAGTTTTAAACTATAACAAGTACAAACTGAAATGACCCAACATATATTACATAACTCACACTTCAATAATCTGGGCCCTCAAAAGAAAAAAAGTGAGATGAACTCAGGCAAAATCTAGCACTGCTCTTCCCACTCTGTTCTATAAATGCTATCTTCATTTTCACATCTCTGTCCACTAGCCCATTTCTGCATCCATCAAATTGCACCTCTGCTCTCTTGAGCAAGAAGGCAGATTGTGCATTTCCTCTTTAATGGAGGTCTGACACCTACAACTACCCATATCATCCAGCTGGGCCACAGGCTGAATTCTGAAGGGTAACTTAAAACATTGTGAAATAAATCTATCTCTGTAAAATAAGTCTACTTGCTACAAAATCGATCTGTGGCGATTCAATTCCTAGGGGGTTAACTGGACACTAAAATTTTCTAAAAGCTAAACTATCTTTTGTAGTCAGAAAATATAGTTCCGAGCAACTATTTGCTTCCCTTGAATATAAATGAATAAGAGGATGAGAGCTGTTTCTGAAATCCAACATTCAAGTGAAACACGAGATTCTTCTGAGCAGGTTCGGAGAGGTATGGGAAGGCATGGGAAACAGCCCATGGAAGGAGGCTGTGAGCTGATTAACAGGGGGTGTTAATTAATTCTTCAGGAACAACTTAGGAAAGATGAATGTGGGTTAAAAATGTCCTGACTTTGCAATAGCATTACTCATAACACACTCTGCAAACTTTTGAGTCAACCAATCATGCAGCTTCTAAATTAATTTTGTAGTTTGTTTATTTCAAGTGTCATAGAAATAACTACTAGATGTTTTAGTTATGCACAGATGCTATGGAATTTTCCTCAGTGACTACATTTCACATAGGGGTGCATATTTTGAACCACTGTAGCCAAAACTAAAAGTTGAACACAAGCAAGGAAATAAACTCACTTATCGAACTCATCAAAGAGGTCGCAGCTCTGCAGTTTTGAAAGAGCAAGTTGAAAATATTCCACTGGAAAACAAATGGAGTATTGTGAATAAAAGGAACCATGGCTTCTTAGGTAGATAGTAAGCCACGTTATCCCCACCCTTCCCCAAACCCCTTTTCCAACTGGTATGGCCGCATCTGATTTCTTCTGTGGTGAAAATTCATGATATCACTGCCATTAGCCAGCGGTACTTAATAGGCACACTCAAAACGGTAAATGCTCTAAGGACACGTTCCAAAAACCCCAGAAAAATAAGAGGCTTGATCTGAAAACAATCATAAACAAGTAACCCCAAAATTAGCACTATACGATGATTCTGAAACTGACATCAGTAATCAGTATTCAGCAAGTTTAACCTTATTTCACTATCAAATTCTCTGCAATATATTTTTAAAACACACACACACATACACACACAGTCGTTAAATAAGCAAAATCTAACTCAGGAAACTGTAGGCTTGTCGCCACCTGGGCTTTTAGGGTCTCTCAAAAATCGAGAACATAAACCTGTGTAAGGTCAATCAGTTATCAAGCAGAAGAAAAAGTATTTCTTCATTAGTAGATGGAATAATTCTCTCTAAATTTAGCAAAAATAAAATGTCTACTGATTAAATTTTAAAAATTGGTCAAGGTAATGTAGGGAAGAGGCAAGAGAATTAAAATGTTAAATCAAGCTACATTCAGAGACTGCAATATGCTGATCAGCCCTACAGCCAGGCCACGAGGATGCCTGCAGAACAAAGGAAGATTCCGCTGGGATTGCTGACAACCCATTTCCCACACCTCTGAAGGGGAAACAGGAAAAACAGAGTCTTTAAGTGGCTGCCCTACACAAATAAAATCATTCATTTCCTATGGCTAAAACCATGGGGAACCTATGGATTAAAGTCTGGGAACTGCCAGCAGGCCTTTCATGCTACATACTCGGCTACATCCTCTTCAACTTCCCCTTCCTCACTGCATGTCCATAGCAAAGGAAATGGGTAAACAACGTCTTTAAACCATAACTCACAGGAACTAAAAAATGTTTGAGAGGGGGTCCCTCTCAATGTCTTTTTGTCAGTCCCTCTCAGTCTTCTTCTCAGTTACTCTCACTGTCTTTTTCTTGGTACCCATTACTCTGTCTCTCTCACGGTCCTAGTCTTTCTTAGTCCCTCTCACTCTCTGTCTCTGAGAGGAGACCACACTCTGTGGAGTGTTACCCATTTTTTAATAAACTTTCCCTTTGACTCTAACTTTGGCGTGTGCGTTGAATTCTTTCTACACTCTCTGCCAAAGGACCCTCTTCTTCTCTTGGTGCAGGGCTTGATCACCCCCACTCGGGGAAATTTGCCCAGTCCTGCATCAAGGGGACTAGAGCTTGCTGATGAAATCAAATAAAACTCAGGCTAAGAGTTGAAATGGGAGATCAGGAGGAAGTTAACCCAGAGGGTTTATCATGCTAATTCTAAATTGGAATAAGGTGAAGCATCAGACCTTGTTAATAAAATAGTGGCAAAACAAAAGTAAAAAGCAGTGTCTAACAAAAACCTACCTTTTTAATTCTTTTATTCTACACTGCCTCAAAAGAACTTATATTTTAAAATCAACTCCTCAACCCATCCCAAAATTATACTCTTTAGGAATCACTATAAAGCAGAAAGATTCAAAGGCCTTAAAAGTATATAAAAATATGATTCATATCAAACACCACTCATATTTAATAGGGCAGGGCAAGAAAAATATTACTGACCTGATGTTCTTATTCCATAAGGCAAATCAAACTTATCACTACCATACAAGGAAGCAATCTTTTTAAAATCAGCTGCACAAAGGAAAGGGTGAAACTGATAAAACCTGGAAGAAAAGGATAAAAAATGATTTTCTCAAATGCTTACAATACTTGCAGGCTTTTAAAGTCACAACTAACTAGATTTAATGTGGGTATGTATATATGTCTAAATAAATAAGTAAATAAATAGTCATAACTGAAAACAACTATAGCGTATCATTCATATTGTTATATTGACTATATGACTATATACCTATTTTTCAAAAGGTAAAATCATCTTAAACGGTATTTAAATATTATATAAAATGAGATATGCAACAGAACTACACAAACCGAATGGAAACACTTTCTAGGTTGTGGAATCAAAATTATGTAACAGCTTTGAGGACAGGGGTTGGGAGAACAAAATTTAAAAACAAACCAACACCAAGTGATAAAATGTTAGCCATATACAGCAAGAAACGAAGAAATTAATAGGAGAAAATAAAAGAACTGATGCTAAGCTACTCCCAAATGAAAAGATACCATATGTGTTGTCAGCTATTATAATAAAAATTACATTAAAATTTGATGTAGCTAGAACTAAACTCTTGATATCATTACATTAAAATTTATTTACTCAAGAACAAGAACCACAAGCATTTGCCTTGTTATTGCCTGCTCTGTCCTAAAAGTACTCCCCACCTAGGGTATTCCCTCAGACAAGAGAGGAAGCTTGATGAGAATAGGGTGCGCCTCTTTCTTCTCACTTTCAGCACCTGGCACTGAGTACGCAGGCCACATATGTTTAATAAGTGATTAAATGAATTTCAACTCCAATTTATTTCTTTTGCAACCATTATGAAACAGAAAAGTATAAAAGTTTTATTTTTTTTTTAATTAAAGCGAAGGAACAGGTAAAGCTCATATTAAAATATTATTTTTACCTACAAGGACTGGACACTACAGAGCAAATCGAGCTGGTCTTTACCCCAACCTCCACACAGGGCCATATCTTTCTGACTTTATCAGTTTTGCCCTTTTCCTAGTCTAAAACCTGCAGGTGGAGATCAGAATGCCCTGAGGTTTCACAGAATGGATACAAACAGCAGTAGAGTAGGAGTGCCACCCAGGAGCCACTAAACTTGGACAAGTCACAGGAGCTTAAGATCTTTGGCGCTGAGCTAAAAACTCCCAAGTATTCAGACTAAGGAAACAGGTGAGAGACCAGCCCTTCCTGTTATGATATGTTTCCCATATTCAGTTGTTATAGTGTTAGCAGCCTCAGGGGTCCAGCCACTCTTGAAAGGTCATTTGTATAACAGCGTTGATGTCCAAGTTCAGAATCTGTTCTGGGAGAGGAAGCGTCAGGTCACCTGACTTAAGATTGAGAAGAAGCTCAAGATCTTCTCAGTCTTCCCTGGGAAAGGGAACCACAGATGACTTTGTACCCTGAGGACAAGGCAATAAAGGACTCTTCTTTGGAGTTGGTGGGGTGATCATTAATGTCTATTGCCAGCCAGACCTTGCACTAGATGACTTACATTTTATTTCTAAATGAAATAATTGTTTCAAACCATGTCTCTCACACAGTAGGGACTCAATAAGTACCAGCCTCAATCTGTAATAATTACACATTACATTGTACTATATTACATTGTATTCTATTACCAAGTATTATATTACATTACATTTCTGCTGCTGTTACATCTATAAAAGCCTGGAAAGGTAAGTAAAGTCTATTTCCTTTCAGATAAAGAAACTGAAGCTATGAGAAGTGAAGTAACTATACAGTATTATGTGGGGTGAATAACCCAGATCTGACAGAGCTGAAATCCACACCTAAGGAAGGATGCACTCGCAGCACTGCAGGTAACACCTCCAGGTTTCCTAGGAGGGCTTCTTCTGATCATTACTGGCAAAAGAGATAGCGCTGCCCTCAGAGTACTATTCACATGATAAATGTAAATCTACTTGTCACTTAAATTGTAGACTTCTACACCTGCTAATAAGCAATCTCACATAAATACTTTAACCCTTTTAGGTTTTCTTAAAAGGAAATATCTTTTTTTTTTTTTCACTGAAGTTGAAGAGTACCTTGATTCTAGAGCAGTATTTTAAACCTGCAGTCTGCAACCCATATTTAGTTTATGAAATCAATTTTGTGAGTTACAATCAGCATATTTTTAAGAAGTAAATAGAACAGAACACAGATCATCTTAACTACAAATGATAAAAAAGCTTTCTTTTCTTATTATAAATATGCGTGTATATTAAGTTACAAAGTAAAATGTATTTCTTACTATGGGCCATGGTTGAAAAAGTATAAAATCACTCTTCTAGTTTTTTAGTGACCCTAACTGGACACACCCGCATGGACAGGTTACAAACTGCCATGACACACCTACAAACATATGCAGAAATATTTTATGTATCTACGGTTTTCCAGAGAGTTGGTTGCTTTTAAGGAGATCTGTAGCCCCCAAAAGGCAAGGAACTAGTAATGGAAAGGTGCAGTAATATAATAGAAGAAAATAAGAACATGTGAATTTTTGATCCTTAATGGATATAATGCTGAAAAACTTATACCTATTTTACACAATTAAACATGCCCATACCAGATCGCCATTTATTTCTATTTATTGAGAATCATTTTTGACCAGCAATCTGGCAAAGCTGGGGTGACAGAGAAGAAAAATTTTTGTGGATGGAAGAGTAAATTCCACACAGTCCTGACAACCATAATGAAAAATCACTATTTACATTCTATGTAGATGAATATGTAGTTCATTAAAATTCAGGAAAATTTTCTAACTGTAAAGTTTAACCTGTAGGCAAGGGAAAAACCACAAAATAAAAAGAATGGAAAACAACATAGGAAGACAAGGGGGTGGAAAACCCTAAAAAAACAGTTCACTTTTTATTATTGAACACAAATAGACCTCTCTAATCTCACCTGTGTGAAAAGAACACTGATCTGATTGAGTCCTTCACTGTCGTTTCTTAAATCATATGCAGAGCTCTAACAAGTACAAAAAGAGAAGATACTCAAGTTCTTCCTTAAATATAGGGAGTCCACTTTATACCACTAAGACTTATATGAAAAAAAAGTAAACAGTGTGGAAAATGATTGCAAACATTTTGTACGCCACAATTTCTTTTTTATTTTTACCTCAGGAGAGAGGCAAAAGCTGGCTTTGATAAACAAGGCTGGATCTTATTTCTCCGTTTCATTTCCACAGGTGGCACCCTATGAGACAAAAATAGTGTCAGTCAGAAAGCAGGACCGGGCAGCCACCCAAAGGTAAGCAAATGCCCTGGGAACGCACTTGGTGCCACCAAGAGAGGCCTCTCAGGCAGGAAATACGAATCCTCACAGCAGGCCAAGGTATGACGGTACCTTCACCAGGTCCTGCTTGTATTTGCGAATTCATGGATGCAAGGCAAGAGAGGTAGAAAAGGCTGAGATGATTAGCAACCCACAAGTAATTCAAAGAACAGTGAACCAGAGGACCCTCTGAGAAGCACTTGGATTACTGCACTATGGAAGCCACAATCTGGCTTGCTTTTTACAAGTTCCCAAAAGCCTGAGAAACCCAGCTCACACCAAGTGCACAAGCAGGACCTTCCTGTCACATCTGGGATACCTACTAGCAGCGGATACCACAGAAACACTAACCTGAGCAGGTTCCACAGACCCTGCCTTGTGATCTGGTGACTCCACGAATCACACTACTTAGAGTCATATCTAACTCTCCTCTGTTCCTGACACAGGTTAGGCCCTGTGTGTCTCCTGAATGGAGCAGTTGTCTCCACAATTTAAAAGGGTATTGTGAAACAAGACAGAAAACAAAAATAAATGAAGGGGATAGGGTGGCAGGATCCAGATTTAGCCAGGAAAGAGGAAAACAGCTTAATGTAAGAACATATTAATGATCATCAATTATCTGAAGAATTAATCTAAAAAGAAAACTAATCACTTTTCTTATATAATTCATAGGATTCAAACTGGAAGAAACAGTCTAAACTCTTCATGAATAGACTCAATTTTCAATTTTGGAGGGATACCAAATCTTCATAGTTAGAACTGCTAGGTTTTTAAACCATAAGGCTAGTAACGCCCTTATGCAGAGAAACATCTTTTGTGAATACCACAAATGGCAAGAATTCCCTGATTTACATGTAAGGAAGATACATAAATATAGTGGACCGGCACATCAGGTCACAAAAACTAAATTATATTTAGAGGACAAGATGAAGTATACTATCTGATGTCTAAGGTTATTAAGAGATAGAAACCAAACTATTTTGGGTTGTAAAGACAAACTTCGGGTGGCTTTAAAAAAAAAAAAAAAGACAATAACCTGTCTTAAATAGTTGTTAAGGAAGCAAGTTCACAGCACAAATACCCATCTGAGGTAACTGCCCAGGGTACTTTCTGTAACTGGAGTAAAGTGTTAGCTTAGGAGTGACATGAACACCCCTCAAATTCTGATGATAAAAGACTGCTCAATTCAGACCCTTTTCATTGACTTCTTTATCATTACCCCTGTAACCAACAATAAAATTTGTAGGGAAGTAGCAATCTAGTAAGCTTCTTGCTTTTTCTTCTGTTCTTGTTTTCCATTACTAAGTGTGGGACAGAGACAGGATGTGGCAGAAATGGAGGGAGATTCCTGTGGTATAATTTTCATGTAGTGTATAATCAGACTTCGAATTCTCTAGCACATTTAAATCCAAAGCCTAAAACTTACAGCTAAATCCACCCACCTGGCACTGGGTTTTTTCCAGTGACTATATGGTTAACTTCCTTCTATGAAAAGCATTTCAATTATTTTGTAGTCAGCCAGTGATGACATTAAATGCAGAAGTAGCTGTTTTTTTATATAGTGAGCACAGGCTGGAAACATGATCTAGGATCTATTATTGAAACACTGGCAAAGAATACTAAACTTTGTCCAAGATGGGAAGTTGTCATGTGATTTATTTTGACATAGACATACACTACCACCCACTTAGGATTTAAAGGTCATCAAAACTTTATTCCTAGACAAAGGATTGACAAAAGAGAAAAGGATAAAAAGCAGATTGTTTTAAATAAAGAAAACCATATGTAGTGTCCACATTTTATCAACAATCTCTTAACCAAGCATTTTAGGCTCTAGAAGTCAAGTACCATAGAGTCCATGTATTCCATCAGTTCAAAGAGATGAAATATTATATAAAGAATGTTATATCTCAAAGATGGGCAACACCACTGCTTCATTAGAAAGTCAATAAAATGTGTTGCTTATCATTTTTAAACTGTTAGAGATAAAGTTTACAAGATACTAGAATGGTAAAAGTTTATAATGGAAAGCGAAAAAAGGTTCAAAATGATGCAAGGGTTTGTAATAGGTCCCTCTAATAATTTGTGTGTCTGTGTCAAAGTTATTTTTAAATAGCAAAAATGAAAACTTACCAATAGGCATTTGTTCCCCATAATATACAATGCAGCACATAATACAGGAAGACAGCACTCAGGAATATGGCCACGAGGTACCCTCTCATGGCTGGCCCACCTGAAACAAAAGGAATGAAGTACAAAGAAAAAGCAAGAATGTTATACAGATGGATTTACCCCAATGGCTCAAATTTAAGTGTTAGTGAATAAACACATAGAAGGGGGAAAGTAGAATAAAAATGGTATAGGCCTATTATTTTGGAAATGCCAACTAAATGGGCAGAAAGAGAATTTTTTCCTGTCTCTCTTCATCCTCTTATCTTTAATCAACACAACATAATGTATGTGTAGACCACAAAACAGTTCCATAGTTTCAAAGCTAGTGGCTTCCCTACTACTTTCTCATGTCAGATAAGAAAAACTTTCATTCAGAACCAAATTTTACACATCTACTCTATATTCAAAACTTTTTTCAATATCTATTTTCTCCTTTAATAGAAAGTAAATATATGCCTTAAGATGTAAATAAACATTTCATTTCTTCAGTGATCAAAATGACTTTTAAGTGCTACAAATTATAATTTTTACAAGTTTTTCTAATTTTAAAAAACCGAGAAAAAAATCTATTAAAAATATTTCCCAAACCCTCAATTTTAATAGCCTTTTATATGCACCTATTTGATTTTTCAATATCATAGCACAGATAAATTCAGCTAAATACTTGTTTACTTTTATATTAAATGACAGTATAGTTCATTGACATTTGCAGACAAAAAACTTGACACAATTCTAGAATATAAATGCAAAGAAAAAAAGAAAACCTTTTAGAGAATACATATTTTTTAAAAAACTAAAACATGTTTATTTACTTCCCATTTTTGCTTCAAGGACAGAAATGAGTAAGTTCTCATTTTCACATGTAATTAAAAGCAAAAGACAAATTTGATATATATGTGTGTGTGTGTATGTATATGTATGGTTCCATAATAGACTTTCTATTTCAATGCATGTGACTTTAAACATGTATACTGTTTCTTTACATCTCTTATCAAGTTCTGGTTTGTCTAGACAATTGCGAGCACCACAACTCTCACTCCTACCCATATCTGTTAACCTCAGTCAGACTGGTTAGATACATTTCGAAATAATGTAATGCTGTCTCCCTTTTACTGGTAACATAGATAAAAATGGAAATCTTAAAATCTTTTGCCTTCATAAGTAGAATACACTAAATATAATTTAACTTTCCTTGATAATGAAGGTCATCTTAACAAATGTCATTATCGTGCTGGGCTCTATGAGAGTTGAGACCTTCTGGAGCTGATGAGGGTGTAGGGCTGTTTGTTCCCCTGTGGTGATTATCTGGTCAAAATTGCTGATCTTGCCACCCTTATTGTCAGCTGTTGTTTCTCACTGATATTAAGACAGCTACTGCCCCCACATGCCACTATTATAAATTAGTTAAAAGTGAAGCCTATGTCAGGAGAAAGCATATAAATTAAATGAGCAAAATTTAGTTTACACATACTTCTAATTTAGTATACATCACCCCTATGAAGAGTCAAACTGGTTGGAAATCAGAAGACAGGGTTCATGGCCGATCTCTACCTAATTCCCAGCCTGGGGGACCTTAGGTAAATCAGTTTACCTCTTCCAACGTCCTTACATGTTTACCAGTGAAAGCATACAACCTACCTCTTTGGGCTACTAATGGAAAATGACAGGCATCTGGCACAACATACGACACAAAAATATGTGCTGAGTATTTTTGTGTATGTATTTTATTGTAGTTTGTCTTCTAAACCTAAAGTTTAGGGAAAAGACTGTTCCGTGATGTGACAGCTGCCAGACCCACAAGCCAGACCCAGGTCAGAAGGGGGAGATTGTTTACTGCAAACCCCCCTTAGAGATTGCTGATCCTAATCAATGTTCATTCTGACATAAATCAGCACCCCCTTCCCCTGCCTCCCACTAAATGCTGGCTCCTGAACAAGCTGTTGTCTTGACCTGGTCAAGCATATCATTCCCCAAACCTGGTAGCATTCACATACTAGTACCCATGACTGTCCTCTCCACCCTTTTTTACCCTATATAATTCTTTGGCACTTGCCAGGCGGGCACGGGTATCCATTTTGTCTTGCAGCCGCCCGCAACATGCCTCCTATGTAAGTTTCTCTTAATAATCTCTACTAATTGCCAGACTGGAGTTGCCAATCACTTGTTTCTCTGGTCCTTCTTTCTTTGGTCTTTCCGCTTATGGAGGTAGATTTTCAGTGTCAGGGCTTTTCCCTGGGTCTGTGTGTACTAACAATTGGCAAGCCAGCCCAGGGACCAATGAAATGGGCTTTAGGAAAAAAGCATCTGTGGGAGAAAGATCAGGCTGGACATCTACATCCATGCGGGGAGGGGTGGCCTGTATACCAGATACATCTGGACTGCTGTGAGTACAGGGATACCCCCAAAATGCCAACTGGTCTCATGCACTTGTTTGAGGAACTACACTGTGTCAAAGCATAAAAATTTATGGCCAAAGCTGTAGGCTTATCTCTCTCATGGGCAGTTTGGCAGGACACCAACACACCCAGTTAGAAGCAGAAGCCAGGGTTCGAAAATTAGAGGAAGAACTAAAACTAGAAAAAAGATATTAGAATGTCTACAACTCTGTTAGCATCAAGACTGGCTGAACATTCTGGCAAAAATAGTAAAAGGAAAGAATGCTCCTTGGATTTTGGTTTCAATTACTGAAGGGGGCAGATATCAGACAGACCCCAATAGAAGAGCAATTATTGACAATGAATACAGTGCTCCTGCAGGTGGAACCTCTTACTAAAGAACAGCCAATTACAGTAAGAGCTTCTCTTCCTATCAAAGGGTGGACAAACATGTTCCCCCACCTGCCTCGGCCATAGCTCAGCCTCCTTCAATGACTCAATAGCATGCCTACTTAGGAAAGAAGAGTCCTCTGTCAAATAGTCCTCTGTCTTTAGAGATTCAGCATTTATTAAACCCTGTTGAATATACAGACACTCCAAATGCTCCTGCTCTTCCTTATCCCTGTGTCAGCCCCTGCAATCTGCAAAGAAGGAACAGGGAATATTCCAGCTAGAACCTGGTATAATGACAGCTCTAGCCTAGATAATCCATCTATCCGGACAGCAGTTGCCATCCAACCATCCATTGACCTATCTGGATGGAAATAGGAACAAATTACAGTAATCACTGGGCTGAATTAAGAGCTGTGTGGTTGGTATTCATGCATGAACCTTGACTGCTGATCCTGTGTACTGACAGTTGGGCCATTTTAAAAGGAATGACTTTATGGCTTGGACAATGGAAACAAAGGGGTGAATAATTATGAACAAACATTTATAGGGACAAGAGACGTGGAAAGATATTTGGGCTTGCTTACAAGAGTACGAGGTCCATCTTACCTTCCATGTCCCTGTCCATAAGGCATATAACCTCCTGGTAACCAGGAAGCAGATACCTTGGCAAAAATACACACTTTAGCAACTGACCTGTCAGTTGATGCTGCAGTTGGGGTACACTGAAAGAGTGGGCACAATACTGCCAAAATAAGATGATGCATAGCTAAGGAAGCAGGGCTGCTTTTAAAAATACAGTGACCTAGTCAGTAATCGAATGGAGGCTCCATGTTCCATATAACCTACAGGCAGCTGACTTGGTGGAATGGAAAAATGGTGTCCTTAAACGAGAGATAAAGTTGTTAAGTGGAAAACCCACTTTGGCCTGTGGACAAAGGTGCTTTCCCAAACGTTAATACATTTAAATGACAAGCTTGTGGGGCCTATTGCTCCATATGTCAGGCTGGGCACCCAGACTGAGGTACCCAGTACAGTAAAGATGTGGGAAAGCAAAGGACACAGCAATAGTCCCCGTGCTTGCCATGGACTGACAAGCTATGAGAAAGAGGGCACCAAGCCCTATTGTCCCTAGAATGAGAACCATTTCTGCAATGGGCTGTCCTGGTGGGATAAGTCAGTTACTTCACAGCCCCAGGTGGAAGGGAACTGCTCAGTCTCCAGGGAATCCTGTTGCCCCAGTGCAACCAGGACCTGTGGAAATGCATTATGAATAGACCGGGACAGACACTATTGAAAGACGGGGGAAGATAGCCCTGGTCTGGCATATTCCCACCCATATCTACTGCCTCACATCTGTAAGCACCATCTCCCCCGGGCAGCATGTATGGTTTACACAGCCTGGACAGGCTCCAAAGACTGAGGCCACATTAACATATAAAAATCAGGCTATAAGTGTAATTCTGATAGGTGACCTCTCAAATCAAGTCCCTACTAAACTAAGTATTTATCTTTCTAATCCTAGATTTCTGCTGTTACACTGGCATCCAGTTTGTCGTTCAGCCACCTAAGACATGTCTCATATGTAAGTGTTCCTTAACATACTCTATTAGTTACTAGACTGGCGTGGCAACCTGTTTCTTTGTTTTTTTCTGCCCTCTGCCCACAGAGGTAAGATTTCAGTCTTGGGGCTCTTCCCTGGGTCTGCATATACTAACATGAAGTCAGTTGTTGTCTTTTGCTCCATAGTAAAATGCATGGAAAGCCAAATTGAGACATAGCCTATCCTTAATGCAGCCTGTGTTGTATTGTTATTGGCCTGACAGGAAGATGTGATTGGGTTGTTGCTTTGGCAGAAAGCCCAGCATCCTTTGATGGGAAAAGGAGCAAAGCATGTAAGGGATATGTGGATCTACATCCCCTCAGGCCTGTGCCTCCTCTTTCCATTTCGTTCCATCTTCCTCACTCATTGTAATGTATGCTATCTTCATGTATTAGGGGTTATTTTTAAAATCACCTTAAATCATCCTGGTGAAAAGAAATAAATTGCATATTTAGTGAGCTAAAAAAAATCATATGGTTCTATGTTTCTTGAAAATTAATTGGTAAAATCCAAGTGATGGAGAGAATTAAGGTTTGGGATTATCAGAGTAAAAGTTCAAGACAGTGAGGTATTCGGGATGTTAGACGTACCACTGAAGTGGCTAACTGAAGATTCGGACAGACAAGATAGGTAGCCCAGAGCCTGGCCCTTACAACATGATCAACAAATGTTAGCTTTCCTTCCTCCTCTTGT